AAGATTTGTGTCTGTAGTTTTTAATCTGGCTTCTTACTTTTACATACAGGGGCTGCTTCCATCAATCTGTCCCTGCCTGAATGCCAGTACCTCTTTTTGGTCATAGCTTCTGAGGGTTTCAATTTTACTGCAGCAGCAGGCAGCCCACAGTTTAAAAATAACTATTTTGACATTTTTGATGTAAATATGTGAATGACTTGATTATCTGTTTTCACATCATTCTGCACTTGCCTGGAGCTACAAGAGTTGTGGATGGAACTAGATCAGAGAAAGCATTAGACAGTGCCATCTGCAGGGCTTTCCACCACAGCACATAGCAGCTGACAGAGTTCTACTTAGAACGCCTCATTATTTCCACTAGTGCAGTCCTTCCAAGCACACTCTGATCCATGCTGCAGATAAACCAGAAGACAGACTGGGAGCAAAACTTCACAATTTCCATTTTTCTGGAAATAAGTGAAGCAGGAAAGAGAAGCAGCCCCATCATTTCCAGATTCTCTAACTGAGGGAAGAAAAGGGCGAGAGTGATTTCTCCCTTAACATACTCAAAATCAGCTAACACCTTTTGATCCTATACATTTACATGGAAGTAAATGTCCCACTGAGTTCAGTGTGGCTGATTCCCTAGTAGGGGTGTAGTGGCATAGGGACACAGAGATGTATTTTTTCAGATCTGGAGTAATGACATTATTAACCGGATCTCTGGGTAGAAAGAGAGAATTGCTTACAAGCTAGGTGTGCTCTCACCCTCTCAGGATTAACTTCTTCCCAGGCCTTTCAGCAGGTCTGTTTTTAGTGGCAGTTATAACCCAGGATTTAAAAAAATTAAAACAGTGAGACCTTGTGTAGAGTTTGCCTTCCCTATGAAACCCACAGCATACGAAAAAGTGAAACTGACACAGTGTCATTACTTTCCACAAAACAAAATTAAACCAAACACTTGAAAGAATCCTACACAGCCCCATAGCTAAGGAGTTTTGGGGGAAGGGGCCTGGGGGGGGGGCACCAGCCAATTAAATAAAAATTAATTAAATTTAACTTTGATTTAATTGGTGGAATTCCTAAGCCAGCCTCGGCTGCAACCCAGGGGGGAGGAGAGCGCCACCGCCAACAGCAGGGACAGCCCTCACACTGCGGATGAGTCCTCGGGTCTTGCAGGCGTGTCGGGGCGCTCGCTCTCACTCTCTCTCTGCCTTCCTCGGCGACTGGCCACCAGCGAGCGCCCTGCCAAGCTTCCCTGCCTCCCTCCCTCTCAGGGTGGACATGGCCACTGGTGCCTCCCGCTTCGCGAGGCGCATTTTTGAAAAATCTCAGAGAGTTCCAAACACAGAACTCCTGGCGAAAGTCTGGATTGGCCATGTTTTGCCTCAGCAGAGGACCACGTAGGCTGGCAGTGTCCATCTCCTCTAGATAGATACCAATACTCCCACTGAACTCTTACCCGAGTGGAGCCTCCTCAGAGCAAAGCTTTAAAACTCTCTGGGAACTCTGAACATGGAACTTCCAGTCACGTCTAGCCGGGCAGTACAGCGATTGCGCTCAGACTGGCTCCCAGGAGCGACAGCAGGGGGCCTGGACTCACCAGCTGTTGGGCTGAGGGCAGTGACGGTGGGAAGGGGGAGCCGAGGATTGGAGAGGGGCCCGTAAAAACCGTGGGGGGGGGCCACGGTAGCTACGGGCCTGATCCTACAACTGTTCCTTGAACATCGCAGATCCAAAGAGGCCATTGGGATTTACTTCTCCTTCTTCCTTTCTCTGGAAAATGCCCCCACCCCCATCTTTCTCTTTCTTGCCTTTCATGGAGGAAAAGCTGGAGGTTTGTTGTAGTTTTTTAAATTAAAATTACAAAAATAAAATGCTCTTTTTGAAATTTGGATCTAGTGGAGCTGGAAATGCCAGGTTAGCTTTTGGGTAAGGGGTGACTTCAACCCTTTCAAAAGCACTGTATAAATATTTTCAGTAACAGCATTTATATCTTACCTGGCTTTTAAAAAGACACATTAAAGGATATGCCTGTTACTCTGGAGTAGAACAGAGGGGGAGAAGGAGAGTTAAGTTAAATCTTTGGGAAAAGAGTGAGTAGACAAGGGGGAAGGGAAGCAGACACAACACAGGGAGAGGGTCCGGCAAGGGGCTGGAAGATTTCTCCTCCCCTGCAAGTCCTCTCAGATCCCCACTTGTTAACTATCAGCCATACTGGTAAATAAAATCTTCGTGTTCAGAGGCTGGTTACCTCTCAATGGCAGTTATTGGGCAGGGGCAACCAAAGAGGGCTGTTGCCCTTGTGCTCTGTGGGATTCTTAGAGGCATCTGACTGGCAACTGCGTGAAACAAGACACTGCACTAGACAGCCCCTTCAACTTGACCCCACATGGCTCTTCACTTGCATTATCTTGCTACAGTCCTTTAAAGGCCAGCATTATTATCCCTATATCACAAAAGCAGCTTGGCTAGGACCATCTAGCGAGCTAACAACTGATTCAGGCTACAGGCTTTCCAGTCAATCTCTTAGCCACTATGGTAAAAGTACCACATAGTCTGTCTCAGCTTCCTAAAGCAGACAAATCTGAATAGTGCAAAGTTTGCGTCCAGTGACACCTATAAGACCAACAACGTTTAATTATGGGTATGTGTGCATGCACACTTCATCAGATATTTTTTCAATACATTTGATAAAGTGTGCATACACACAAAAGCTGATACTCAGAATAAAACTTTGTTCATCTTAATGGTGCCACTGGACACAAACTTTGTCCAATTGCTTCAGACCAACATGGCTATCCACCTAAATTTGAATAGTGTTTGGTTTTCACACCAGAAGTTGATGAGCTTCCCACAGGCATATGGCTGGGGGTTCACTAGGGACATACCCTAATCCTGACCTTACTACTCATTCCAAGGAAAAGGCATAGCATTCATTTTTTGTTGTACAGGTCCAATGGGGGCCTAGCTACAGGGCATCATAAAGAGCTCCTGTGCTTCAAACTTGAACACCATATGACTGCTCCTCAAGCAGATGTGCCATCTTACAACAACCCTGAATACCTGAAAGTATGCCCTCTTAAAATAAACAAAAACAAGGTAGGATTGTAAGATCTCCTTTTACCAGTCCACTGTAACTACCACCAGTAATTTGGCAAATGAAGATTCTTCAAAAACAGGCACCTTAAAGCCTAATAAAATTTTATTTCAGCATAAGTGTTAATGGACTACAGTTTTGGATGCAAAGAGTGGATCCTCTCTATGCAGTGCTTTGTTTGCTGTTGCCCTCAAGTCACAGCTGATTTATAGTGATGACCCCACAGGGTTTGCAAAGCAAGCAACCTTCAGAGGTGGTCTGCCATTGCCTGCCTCCGTGTCATGACCACGGTATTTCTGGGGTGGTCTCTCTTCCAAGTACTACTCTCTTCCAAGTACAATACAAGAACTCGTGGGCACTCAATGAAATTGCTGAGCAGTCAGGTTAGAACAAATAAAAGGAAGTACTGCTTCACCCAACGAGTGATTCACACATGGAATTTACTGCCACAGGAGGTGGTGGTGGCGGCTACAAGCATGGACAGCTTCAAGAGGGAATTAGATAAGCATATGGAGCAGAAGTCCATCAGTGGCTATACTTGCCCCAGACCGAGAGTCCATCAGGAACCCTCGGTCTGGGGCAAGTGATGCACTGTATTCTTGGTGCTGGGGGGGGGCAACAGTGGGAGGGCTTCTAGTGTCCTGGCCCCACTGCTAGACCTCCTGATGGCACCTGGTATTTTTGGCCACTGTGTGACAGAGTGTTGGATTGGATGGGCCTCTGGCCTGATCCAACATTGGCTTCTCTTATGTTCTCGTATGTTCTTAGGGCCGATCCTGCTTAGCTTCCGAGATCTGAGGACATCGGACCAGCCTGCCCCGGACAGGGCCTCGCGTTATATGAGAGGTGTGAAAAGGGGGGGGGGGTGTCAAAAGCCTCGAAACGCATATAGAGGAACATGAAAAATAGAGAGACCAATCATTAGCTAATGCTAAACTGGCTAACGCATGTAATAAATGGGGAGGTTTTGTTAAAATCGGACGTCTTAGTACAGTTACAGTGTAATAAAAACCAGAAGCCCCGGTTCAATCCAGGGGCCACAACAGATTAACACAGCTTCCCCTTGGGGAAATTCTTCACATCGTTTGATTGCACTGTGGCGATAAATTACTCCAGATCTACTAAAGCGGGGCGCATTGTTATTGATCTCGTACAGGGGAATTGGACAGCGTGAATGAGGCATACAGGTTCATTGATGCGAGTGGTGAATTCATCACGGAGAGACGCACTTCAGTCCCCAGCGTACTCACTTTTGCCACTTTAAGCCGTCATTTAAATCTCCATGCCCAGGAAAAGCAGCCTCCGCAGTGAATATAAGAACACTACCTCTACGCACCTCCTCCTATGGACCCGCCAGGTAGAAGAGGCCCCCCCCCCCTTAGGAAGAGCCGAATGGTAGCACCCATCATCATAACTCTCCTTACCTCACAACTCGAGGCCTGCGCGTAGGATCCTCCCATAAAGGGTGTAGCCTGCGTGCTGGTTGGCGGTTTTGACACTCAGCGGCTGCCAATTAAGACGGCGGTTTCAAACGAGCCCGGGAGCGCGTGCGACGTCTCAATGTCTCTTATTTCAGTAGTTTCTCAGGGAAACGGGAGTTGGATTCCCACTTTCTCTGTGGAGAGAGGTGAAAAGTGCCAAGGCTGAGCAATTTTTTTTTTCCTTTGGCCTAAAGTAAGCCAATGGTAGGAATGCAGAGGAAGCAAGGTATCCTGCTTCGGTGAGTGTAATATGTATGCCAAAAACAAAACGGCGCAGTGCGCATGTGTACTTTAAAAAAAAAGAAAAGAAAGAGACGGGATTTGCTGCCTCTTCAGGCTTTGCTTTCCGGGTTGCTTTCAGGACCTCGTGGCGCAACGGTAGCGCGTCTGACTCCAGATCAGAAGGCTGCGTGTTCGAATCACGTCGGGGTCAGCAAATCCCCTAATAAACTGGGGGATTTATTTTACACCGTACGTGAAATGACAAGTATACATGATTTACTTGTTCTATCAGATATGGGCAGGGTTTCCGTTGAAATACTTGGGAGGAAACTCCAGCAAGATACGCAGCACGTACGGTCGGATATTAAGTTCCTGTTAAATTTGGGAACAACGTCCCATTTCTAGTCTAATTAAAAAGAATTGGTCACATGGAAAATCCCGAAAGAAAGGGAAAGTAGAAACCAATAGTGAGAGAAATTCCCTGCTGTCTATGGCTGTTCAGTGGCATGAAGGTTGAGGTAAGCATCTCCTAACAAAAATGGAGGGAGGCGCGTGCAGGGCCTGTAATGTTTGAAAACTAGTCGCCCAGGAAGGTGATCAACGACTGCACAGACCAGCTGTGCCTAACTTTATTCTGAACCAAAAACATACTTCTCAATAAAAACGTCGCTAAATTTATTCAGTGAGGAAATTCTACTACATGGAGGCTGAGAGACAGTTTGGGTTTTGCCCACATCTAAGGATCCTCGCAATGTTGGGGGGGGGGGGAGAGTGTTTAACAGAAATACAAGTCACTTTTCTGACTTCCGCCAGCTCTCAGACTTCTCTCCCCCCCCCCCCCCCCCGCCTTTTTAAGACTGAGCATCTTTGGAATTCAGATACAGCATGGTGAGCTCAGCCACAAAATGGCTGCTGAAGGAGTTGGAGCGTGCCACAAAATGGCTCCCACATCTTACCTTCAGTGACCCACTGAAGATGAAGAAGACAAAGAGAAAGTTTTTATATCCTGCTTACAACTGCATTCCCTTCCCAAAACACACATTTTATGAGGTAAGCAGGGATGAGAGAGTTCTGAGAGAACTATGACTGGCTCAGGGTAGGGTTGCCAAGTCGATCTTCGCTGGGAGCAGAGGGCTCCCGGCCGGCGTCTGGCGCGCACGCGAAGCGCGCGCTGCATGCACATCACCCAGAAGTGACGTGACGACGCCAGACATGCTGTGGGTGGGGCCACGACCATCCGAGGGAAAACCATCACTATCATTAACAGGATGGCCATGGCCCCGCCCCCAGCGTGCCCGGCATGGTCACGTCACTTCCAGGTGATGCGCACGTCGGGGAGGAGTTCCCCCCGGGGCCCAATCCAGCACTGCCGGGAACGGGCCTCCGGGGCGGGGTTTTCCCCGCCCCCCGGGGGCACTTGGGAAGCCTAGCTCAGGGTCACCCAGGAGGCTTCATGTGAGTGGGGAATTAAATCCAGTTCACCAGATTAGAATCTGCTCATTTTAAGCACTACACTACTCTGGCTCCCCTTGTACTGTGGTGGAAACTCCTGCCAAAGCAAGGTTTCTACAAATCTGCACAGCCAATCAAATATCCAGTGGCCAGTTGGACGACTTGCTGGGCAAAAACTCCACTTTGCCCTCCTTTCTACAGACACTTGGGATTCGTTAGTGGGCACCATGGTGTGTGCCCACAGGCACCAACTATATGGGAGCCCATACACTAGCCTATATAATTGTCCACTCCTACTTTTTCAAAGGCTCAACATTTTTGTGTTTTCATACTTAACTTTGACAAAGTGGGTGTGCTGCTAGTGGGAAGGTTTGACCCAGGAGTTTGGATGTCTCCTGTTTTGGATGGGGTTTCACTACTAATGGAGCAGGTTTGTAGCCAGGGGTGTGCTGCTGGACCTATGCTTCCTATTGAATAAACAAGTTGCAGCCCTTTTGGGCACAGAAAACCTTGCAAATGTAGTGCATGCTCTAGTAACAGATTAGATTACTGCAATGCACTGTGCAGAGGGCTGCCCTTGAAGACTGTTCAGAAGCTACAGTTGGTACAGAATGCTGGGGCCAGAATATTGACTATAGAGTGCCCTAGGTACCATATCACTCCAGTCTTATTCCACCTATCCTGTCTCCCAGTTTGCTTCTGGCTAATTCAAAGAGCTGATACTAACTTTTAAAGGCCTATCCAGATTAGTGCCACGCCACCATACCTTGAGGACAGCCTGCTCTCCAGATGAATCTATCCAACCACTTCCATGATCTGCAGAGGCCCTACTTTGGGTGGCCCTGCCATCTAAGGCTAGACAGGTGGCAACTTGAGAAAGGGGTTTTTGGGAATTTTCAGGATTTTTTTTCTTTAAATGTAACAAATGGTAAACTATAATATTTTAATGATAGTGCATTATTAAAGACTTCAGTGTTTTAATAAAGTTAATATCCAGATAAACTGGCAGTACAGCCTATTGGGACTCTATGAAAATTTTTGTCCAAGTAATATATTTTCCTTTGTTCATAACAAAATTTGTTGTCTACCTTCAACTTTTCTTACCTCTCAGGTGGAAAAAAAATAAAGGTATAATGTTCTATGGTGACATAGGAAGTAGTTTGCAACATTTTCTTATGTATTGGGTATGCCTGCATTTTTCTTATAGAAAATTAAGATATTTATATTTCTAAATTCCATAAATATGCCAAATAGCAAAAGTTTTATGCCAAATCATGAATGATGCGTTTTATGTTTTTCAATCAGTAAGTTTAGATTTTATTGTGAAGTAAGTATTGTGTATATTTCAGTCCCCCCCAAATTCCCCCCCCCCAAAAAAAATAAAGGTGGGATATCTTCCCTCAATGACTTTCTGGAAATTTTACATCTCTGTTGGAGGGGGTATCCATAGACCGGACATCCAGAGCCAGCTGTGATGTAGTGGTTAAAGAACAGCAGACTTTAATCTGGAGAACCGAGTTTGATTCCCCATTCCTCCACGTGAAGCTGACTGGGTGACCTTGGGTCAGTCACAGTTCTCTCAGTTTTCTCTCAGCCCCACCTACCTCACAGGATGTCTGTTGTGGGGAGAGGAAGGGAAGGTATTTGTAAGTGGCTCCGAGACTCCTTCAGGTAGTGAAGTTGTTGTTCAGTCGCACAGTCGAGTGTGACTTTCGCGACCCCATGGACCACATCATGTCAGGCCCTCCTGTCTTCCGCCATCTTTTGGAGTTTGCTCAATTTCATTTTCGTTGCATCAGTAACACTGTCTAACTATCTAATCCTTTGCCATCCCCTTCTTCTGTTATCTTCAGTCTTTCCCAGCATCAGGGTCTTCTCTAGTGAGTGCTCTCTTCTCATTTGGTGGCCAAAGTATTTGACCTTCAGCTTCAGTATCTGGCCCTCCAGGGAACAGTCAGGGTTGATTTCCTTTAAGATTGACTGATTTGATCTCCTTGCAGTCCAAGGGACTCTAAAGAGTCTTCTCCAGCACCATAATTTGAAAGCACCTATTCTTCAGCACTCAGCCTTCAACTCTCACAGCTGTACATTTAAGGTTGCCAGGTCTGGGCTGGAAAATACCTGGAGCCTTTGGGGGTGGATCCAGGAGAGGGCGGGGTTTGGGGAGGGGAGGGGCCTCAGCATGGTACAATGCCACGGAGTCCACCCTTCAAAGCAGGCATTTTCTCCAGGGGAGCTGATCTCTGTCAGCTGGAGATCAGTTGTAAAAGCGGGGGATCCCCAGGCTCCACCTGGAGGCTGGCAACCCTACATTTACCACTGGGAATACCATTGCTTTGACTATACAGACTTTGATTGGCAGGGTGATGTCTCCACTTTTTATTATGCTGTCTAGGTTTGCCATCGCTTTCCTCCCAAGGAGCAGACATCTTTTAATTTCATGGCTGCAGTCACCGTCTGCAGTGATCTTGGATCCCAGGAACGTGAATTCTATCACTGCTTCCAGGACTGATGGGGCAGGATGCCATGATCTTAGTTTTTTTGATGTTGAGTTTCAAGCCAACGTTTGTGCTCTCCTCTTTCATCGTGAGCAAGAGGCTTTTTAGGTCTTTAGGTCCTCTTCACTTTCTGCCATTAGAGTGGTATTGTCTGCATATCTGAGGTTGTTGATGTTTTCCCCAGCAATCTTAATTCCGGCTTGTGATTCATCCAGGCCAGTATTTCACATGATGTACTCTGCATATGAATTAAATAAGCAGGGTGACAATAGACATCCTTGTTGTACTCCTTTTCCTATGCTAAACCAATCAGTTGTTCCATGTCCCGTTCTAACTGTCACTTCTTGGCCCTTATACAGGTTTCTCAGGAGACATGTGAGGTGGTCTGGTACTCCCATCTCTTTAAGGACTTGCCATAGTTGGTTGTGGTCCACACAATCAAAGGCTTTATCATAGTCAATGAAGCAGAAGTAGATGTTTTTCTGGTACTCTCTTGCTTTCTCCATAATCCAGCGAATGTTGGCAATTTGATCTCTCGTTCTTCTACCTCTTCGAAACCTGGCTTGTACTTCTGGCAGTTCTCTACCCACGTACTGTTGAAGTCTGGCTTGTAGGATCTTGAGCATGACCTTGCTAGCGTGTGATATGAGTGCAATTGTGCGATAGTTTGAACATTCCTTGGCATTGCACTTCTTTGGGATTGGAATATAAACTGACCTTTTCCAATCCTGTGGCCACTGTTGCGTTTTCCAGATTCGTTGGCATACTGAGCGCAGCACTTTAACATCATCATCTTTTAGGACTTTGAGTAGCTCAGCTGGGATACCATCTCCTCTGCTAGCTTTGTTGCTAGTAATATTTTCTTTTCTTTTTTAAAGGTTTTTTATTTCATACATATAAAATAGACAATCAACATAGAAACATAGATAATTGGGGAAGATTCGTTGTATCATTCCCCCCCCCCCCAATGTTGTCATTTGACCTCATACTGTAATTTAAAAAGTTCATTTAGAAATTGTTCAAACTCTGGGAATCCAGATACAGCAGTGAAGCTAATTTATGTTTATTTCTCAAATACAAGTGCTATTAGTGGAACATAATGCATTGAAATAGAGAAACATTCCTAACCAGTGTTGTGTCTTCTATCATAGGCTGTACTGTTAGACGAAATGGAGAAAGTTACTGTAGATGTGCTTATAGAAAACCAGAATGAAGGCTCCCCAAAGCAAGACTCCAAAGATGAAACTGACATTAGAGCACTGAATGACACTGAATTACGGGAACAGCTTTCTGAGTACGGGATCAGCCCGGGACCAATATTACGTAAGCATCAGATAAATGATGACTAACCTTTTCGGTACCCAAATAAATTGTCTAGTTATTTTATCTAATTCCTCAAAATATTGTACTTTTTGGATTATCGGCATATTTTGTACTAGAAACAGGAGCCTTGGCAGTATGTTCATTTTTAAAGTTGCCATCCTTCCCATCATTGAGATATGTAAATCTTTCAATTTAACCAAGTATTTTCTAACTTCTTCCAACAACTTGTTATAATTATCATTCATTAATGTACTACATTTGTTCGATAAAATTATACCCAGATATTTAACTTTTTTCACAATTTCCATGTTAGTTATAGCCTGTAATTTTGTGTTGTTTCTGGAAAACAATTCTTAAGCAATAATTTGGTTTTCCTAATATTGACCTTGAGGCCAGCCACTTGCCCATATTCTCCAATCACCTCCAACAAATTTGAGATGGACCCTAAGGGGTTTTCTACAATTAACAGTAGATCATCCACGAATGCCTGCAATTTGTATTCTTCACCTTGCACTTTCAAACCTTGGATTAATCTATTATCTCTCACTGAATCATTTAGCGTTTCTGACGCAAATATAAATAGAAGTGGGGACAGTGGACACCCTTGTCTTACACCTTTATGTATTTCTATAACCTGAGTAATTTCCCCATTTACTATAATCTGAGCATATTGTTTTCTGTAAATTGCCTTAATCATGTCCAAAAACCTCTCTCCAGGGTCCCATAATCGAAGCTTTTGTATCAAGAATTCCCATGATAGATTATCAAATGCCTTCTCAGCATCTAAACACATTAACACCAGTTGTTTTTCGGGGTGTTGTTCATAATATTCCAGGACATTGATCACTGTACGTAAATTCGCTTTCATTTGTCTCTTAGGTAAGAACCCCGTTTGATCTGGATGTATCTTTTGTGTTAACACTTTTTAAAATCTGGCTGCCAAAATGTTCACATATATTTTATAATCTACATTTAATAAGGAGATTGGCGTATAATTTTTAATCTCTCCTTCTGTATCCGGTTTTTTAATTAATAATTCCGTGTCTCAGGTATTTTCCCCATCATCCCTATCTGTTGTAGCAGCTCTTTAAATGGGAGGCAGATCTGATCTTCAAACATTTGATATATCTCTGCCAGTAATCCGTCAGGTCCAGGTACTTTCTTTTTCTTCTGCTTCTTTATTGCTTCCATCACTTCACACATAGATATTGGTTGATTCAGTAAATGTTTTTGGTCTTCATTAAATCTATCTTTGTTGTGATGTTCTAAATATTTTTCTGTTTGATGTGGACTTTGTATTTCTTGATGATATAAAGCTTTATATAAATCTTCCACTATCTTCTTTAGTTCTTGAAGTCCGTATTTTTCCTCATTTTTTCTATTTTTCAACTTAACTATTAATTGTTTATCTCTCTCCTTCCTTAGTTTGTATGACAGTCATCTTGATGGTTTATTCACGTTCTCAAAATAATACTGCTTGGCATATTCTATTTTCTTTGCGATTTCCTGTATTAAAATCAGGTTCATTTCATGTTGCAGTATATTTAGCTTAGCTTTTATTTTCGCTGATGCATCCCTGGTTTTCATTTTTTCTTCTTCCAGTTTTATCTGGTTACTAAGTCTTTCATAATTCTTCCATCTTTGCTTATTTCTCCAAGCTTCTTGGTTAATACACCAGCCTCTCATAAATGCCTTAAATGTTTCCCAGACTATTTCATTTGGCATATCAGGTTGTATGGTTCCTCTTTAAAAAGTCTCTTCCTTGGTTTTTTTTAACAAAAGCTTGATCTTTCAGTAATCTGGTGTTTAACTTCCATCTGTTTCTTTTCTTTCTTTCTTTCTTCAAAAGATACCATTATTGGATTATGGTCTGCAAAGGTGCTTGGAAATTCTTTGGAAGGAAAATTCTTTGAATATTCCTACTGTTGCCCCATCCATATCAATCCTTGACCATGATTTATGCCGTGTTGAGTAAAATGTATAATCTTTCTTCTTTATATTTCTAGTTCTCCAAACATCCAATAAGTTATATTCGTCCGCTAACTGCATAAAGAGTTTAGGCAACATTGTTCCTGGTTTATTCATTTTTTTCTGGTTTTTCCTATCTAGTTATGGATCTAACACCCCTATTATGCAAATACTTTCAAACTCTTTCAGTTTTAATACTTTCTGTAGTTCTTTATAACATTTCTCTTGATTTTGATTCGGTGCGTATATATTAATCAATAATGTTTCCATCCCATTTCTATTTATAGTCATAGCTACAATCCTTCCATCTTCTGCTTTATATAATAGGTCAGCATGAATATAATCTTTAACATAGGTCACTACACCTTTCTTCTTCGTATCTGCAGTGATAAATGCGTTTCCTAATTTTCTATTAGATAAATGTTTCACATCCTTTTTCTTTATATGAGTCTCTTGTAGACAGACTATATCTGCTTTCAGTTTGGTTATTTGATGGAATATTCTTCTTTTCTGGGGTCTGTTTAATCCATTCACATTAATTGAGAGAATTTTCATTCCTTTACTCATAGTTATTTCTGGTGTCTTTTTCCCAGCTCTATACTGAAATCTTGTTAATACTTGAGATGCTGTAACCCCTCGTCCTCCTTTTCCTTTCTTTCCAGCATTTTTTTCCAGCCTTTTTCTTTTCTTGTCCTTTAGCTCCTTCTTCTGGTTCTTCCTCTTCTTCATCATCCCTTTCTCCACCATCTTCTTTCTGCCATCCTAGATCTTCTCCGTACTTCTCAAGGAAGTTCTTGACCTTAAATATCGAGTCAATTTTATGCCTTTTACCTTCAAAGTGAAATAATATTCCTTCAGGAATCAACCATTTTATACATAACTCCGCTTTTTAAAAATAAATTTGTTAATATTTGATCACTCTGTCTTTTTTCCCTTACTCTCCAAGGGATCTCTTTTAGTAGTCTAATTTCAGCTCCTTGAATCATCACTTTAGTTTCGTTTGACGCTTTAAGGATTTTTTCCTTCTTTTTTCTTTTGTAGAACTTTATATGTACTTCGCGAGGTAAATTGTGTCTCTTTGCATATGCAGAGTTTCGTCTATATCCTGATTCCATTTCTGCCATAACTTCTTCTTTAGAGCCTGTTTGCAGTTGTTCCCCTAGATTCTGAGCTACCACCTCCTTCAAATTTTTCTCCACACTTTCTAGTATATTTTGTATATTTTGACACCTGATTATCAAAGCTGCCTTGTCCGTCTCTAAATTGATCAATGATTCTTCTATTTGTTCATTTTTGCTTTTTAGTTCTTGTATTTCGAAATCTAAGTCATTTACTTTCTCTTTCATTTTCTCACTGCTGGCTATAATTTGTGATATTTCTTGTTTCTTCTCTTTCAATTGTTTTTTAATTTCTTCAGTTATATTTTAATTTCTTCAGTTATATTTTGTACTGGCTCTATTTCCTTTTTAATAAGTGAAGGCAAAATTTCTTTCACTGTTGCTTTCACCGTCTGTGCTACGCTTTCCTGAATTAATATTTTAAATCCTTCATGAGAGGGATTCATAGTGCCTGCCTTCAATTGGCTCATACCTCCCACTTGTCCTGGTGATGTCAGCGATGGTTTCCTAGTTCCAGAAGCCATTAATCCAATAGTCTCCCCAACTTAATTGAATTTAAGTAATATAATTCTCAACTTGTCCTTCTATACATACATCTATCCTTTCTACTTTAAATTTCCCCCCTTTTTTGTTATTATTATTTATTTTTCTTTTATTCCCCCCCTTTCTATTCCACAAAATATTTATTTATTAATATTCTCACTCTTTGATATTTTTACCTTGCTTAGTTTTGGCTCCTCCCTTTTATCTTTCCTAAGTAACCAAACCTCAATAATCACATTAACAAATTATAAAAAGAATGAAGTGCATACGTTAATACCAAGTCCACCTAACCGTTTTTCTTCTTCCTCCTACAGTATGGCTCAGTTTTTCTGCTTCCTCCTTGTTCTAAAGTATTTCTCTTTCTCTCTTTCTCCGATCTTCCAATCTTCCAGTCTCTGTTAGTTTGACTCTTTTGCGATCCTCTCGTTTGTCTTCCTTCCGCCCTTCTTCTCTATACTTCCTGGTTCCTTCCTGGTTCCTTCACCGCCCGGTTACTATGTCGCTCTCCCAACCGTTCCTCCACGTCACCATGCCTCTAGCAACCTCCGATAATGGCATCCGCAGGGCGTTCCTCCAAGCTTATCGAACAAACACACACCGAGAAAAAAGAAGAGAAATCTTAGTGCAGACTTAACTAACTGCTGCAACCCTTCCTGGTGGCCCTTTCTGTATTCAAACACTCTTCTCGAAACTTTTCTTGTCTTTCATTTCTGCAGCCGCTTTGGAGAAGCCCCAACCCTCTTTCCTTTCCTCTCCTTTTCTTTGGGTGTTTCCACCTTACACACTTCACTCTCACTCAAATTTCCTCTGCACAAACCCCTCGAGAAATCAATTACGGTAAGAAATAATTAGTTTTATAATATACTTAACTTTGTTAAGCCTCCTCCTGTTGAGACTTCTTTCTTTCTTGGACTCCGCTTGGTTTGACTGGACCCCTCTTGCACTCGGCGTGACTTGTGTCTCGTCTGGGCTCTGAAAACTTTGTGCCTTGGGACACGGCTATGGCGCAGCTGGGGGGGGGGTCGCCACCCCCTCTCCTCCTGCCAGCAAAAGTCCCTTGCCAGAACTGTCTCTCCAGGAGAGTACTGGACGTTGAAAAAAGCCTTTAGGAAAATAAACGACTGGCTAGTGTAGAGAGCAAGCTCACCACACATCCGCCATCACTGAGCCCGGAACCGGATCCCCGGATCCTGCATCCTTGAAGGCCCCAACCAAAGTGATTACTCTGTTCCTGGGGCCATTCACCCAGGCCCTGCCACAGCAGTAGTCCAAGCACGTTCAGAGGACCCAGGGCTGCTCTTGGGGTAGGGGCATGGCCCGGGCTGTCTCCTGTTTGATGGCTTCTGTGGAGGGCACAGGTGTTGCAGCGCACCCTTGGCCCAGTCCAAGCCAGGCAAGGCCCTGAGGCACCCTGGCACATGCTCCTCTGACTCTTGCCTGGTCCTTCTCCTCTGGTGGTGCACTGCACAGCCCAGCTCCACCCTGGGGGGGGATGCCTGCACCCAAGGCAGGGAGGGCAAGGAGGGCTGCCCATCATCCAAGGGGAACCCAACTGCCTCCACGGGGCCATGGGCCAGAGACCCAACTGGGGAGGCCTCCGCTGCCTCTGGCAGCGAAGGGAAGGGCACACACCACCTGTGCTCCTCAGGGCTGCAGCCGGCCAGCCAGCAGGAAGTGGAGCACAGGCTGAGACACACTTCTCCTCCGTGGGCATTTCATCAAGCACCTTCCACTTGTGCAGGCAACCTAGGGCAGGCCAGCCTTTGTCCCTCCATCTGTGGTGGCTGCGCCAGCACATGGCTGCTGGCGCCCACCTCCCTTGCTGCTTCTCCACACTCATAAGGCTCCAGCTTGGGTCAGGCCTTGCTGGGAAGCAGGGGGTGTGGGGGAGAGAAGGCATGGCTGATTAGTGAGGAGCAGGGCACATTTGTGAGGGAGCATCACTCTCTTCAGCGCCCCCCCCCCTTGGCTACAGGCCTGCTGGCAGCCAATCAGTGCATTTTCTGGCTAATTTTTTGAGGTGATCTGGAAGCTAGATGGTGGCAGCTGTATGGACTCCTGTCCATCAAAATAGGGAGAAGGCAATTCTATCCCCTTCCTCTGAGGTAAGAGATTCTCTGCCCTTATTCTTAGATAGCTGGGTGAACGCTTTGTTTTGTGTGCTCTGGATGGGGAGATTGTTTTCTGTTCTTACAAAGGACTCTTAGTCCCTTGGAGAACTGATTCAGTCCCTGGACCCCAGTTTGAGAAAAGCTGTTCTAACCATTGCAAGCCTTTACACCATGATCTGTTTGCTTTTAGCTTCTACAAGGGCCATTTATGAGAAAAAGTTACTGCAGTTCATGAAGGATTGCCCAGCAGTAGCAACTAGACGGAAGAGTGATTATTGTGTTTCTGATAAGGGAAAAGATGCAGAACAAGGTAATGCTTGCAAATCTTTCACCAAATGTGCTACATGTACCAGGTCTGCTTCAAAGCATTCTCATCAGTGCTTTTGGGATTGCTCTCAAGTTAAGTGAACTGCAGCCAAAGCCTTCATTGTTCCTGTCTTCTGCAGCCCTCATCCAAAGATGTCATTTGGTTTTTAAAAGTTGTTTTCTGCCTTCAGAGTTGATGTATTTAGAACAAAACTGCCTCATGCAGGTTGCCTTGCTTATGTGTGCTTTTGGATAGAAACTCTTGAGTCTAACTTAATTGATTTCCAAGGGATTTAGTCTGTCCAAACCAAAATTTCTCTTTATGTTTACATGTTACTTTGGTTTGTCCCTGTAGTGCTATTTGCAAGATTGTAGACATGACCCTGCCCTCCTAGGATTGTGGGGAAAAGGCAATGGTAGGAAAAATTTGGATATATTATTGTTTCCATTGTGCAAAAAACCCCATATGTACAGAATTGGCATTTTAAATATCCCATATATTTTTTAAAAAGAAAAATGAAAGGGACCTGACCTTGATGGCCCAGATTAGCCTGATCTCAGAAGATAAGCACAATTGGCTCTGGCTAGTATTTGGATGGGAGACCAGCAAGAAAGTCCAGGGCTGCTATGCAGAGCCACGCCATGGGAAACCATCTCTGAACGTCTCTTGTCTTGCAAAAACTCTGTAGGGTCACCAAAAGTTGGTTGCGACTTGATGGCACTTTCTGCCAACACCAATGAAAGGGAAACGTTGTGAGACAGTTGTCCTGCCAGAAGTGGATGTCGAAGTTGCCTCCCAGTGTACATTGTAAAAAATGAAATTTCAAAGTATAGCTTCTGAAGCAGCTTTGTAACAATTGCCCATAGTTTTCATTAAAGGCTAGTGAGCTGGTTGAACAATTGTGTGCAGTTGTGGCATTTTAACAGCATATAAAATTTCAGTTCCTTTATCTGGTCCGAATACAGTTTTTCTCCCAATGGTTAAATAAATGGAGATGAAACAATACTTTGGTGACATCATGGCATTTTCCCTTATCTAAATTGTAATCCTTGGTGGGCTACATAGTGCTGTAGGCAAATCTGTTTTCTGCTTTTGAGCAGCCTTTGAAGTTGGCTAAGGATAAAGCCAACGGTCTGGATAAAGCCTAACTATTTAAGCTGGTTACTTGGTGTGACAGTTTTTGTTGCTGCAGAGAAAAGAAAGATATAACATTGAGCTACTCAGTGTTTTGAAAAATCGAAATGAGTCCATTTGTAGCTGTCAGATTAGCAGATGCTCCTACAAAAATATTATTGCAAATATTTTCAAGATTAGTTTGGCAGAGTGGCTAAGAGCCACTGTTATTGCCTAAGTTTCCATCCAAATTTGGGTTCTGAAGACATCTGTCTGCTCTTTCATACTTCAGCGCAAATTAAAATTTCACATCCTTCAACATCATCCCAACATAGATTCAGGAAACAATGTAGAATTAAGACATCTGTGTGATGACAGGCAAGACACTTGCTTAGAAAATTTAACTGTATATCTGTCCCATATGCTGGATCATATGAAGGCACTTTAGGAGAAGATTTAGCATATGTGAAAATTATTAATAATTTTTAATTGCATTTTACACTACAACCTACAAGGGAAAGGGATACAACCTAAAATCTAGAGTAGCAAGGATCATTGTTATGTTATACTTCAAATTATTGATGTTTCCCTATTATCTAAATAGTAAAAGATGAGAACTAGCTATGTAAGTAAAACAAACAATCACAATCATACTGAGCTATAGTGGGTGTATCTTAGTATTAAAGTTGTTAATTTAAAAAAAGCAAAACATCAGACTTTCAGGGTTAGATTACTTTGCAGCTTTCTTTCCTCTAAGCTTTTTATCAAAGCCTAATTTGACTTTTAGAGGTCTAGGAGCAGCAGCTCCTAATTCTGCTTCAAAGTCAAATGATTCTTCAGAGGAACTGCTCAAGGTGCTGTCAGAGCTTCCCATGCCTTTATCATTGTTGTCTTCTGCAACCTTACTGTCCTCAGCTTTCTCAGATCCATTCATAGCTTTCTTTTGCTGCTCCAAAAACAATTTCACTTTAGTCACAGAGTCAATCTTTTCTTTTTTCCCACTGAAGAGGATAAGACCCTCATGCATTATCCATCTGTAGGGAGTGGTATTTTTCTGTAGAAATAGTATCAGATCTCTATATTGTTTCCTCCTCTTTCTAAATGGAACATCCTTCAAAACTTTAATTTCTTCTCCTTTGATTTTTAGGGTTATTCCGCTTGTCGCTTTCAATACTATGTCCCTTGTTGACCTTTTAGAGAATTTCACGAAAACTTCACCGGGGAGCTTGTTTTTTTTAATAAATTCTGGATAGGTGTGGTAGACCAAATCCATGTCACTTTGCAAAGTTTCCGCTGTACAGCCCGCCATGGGAGCTATTCCTTCACTTAAGATCTCTTTCAGGTTCTCTCCTTTCTGTTCCGGAATACCTTGGAATCTCAGGACATATGCTGATTTTTCCATCTGAAGAAGTAACAATTGTTGTTTCTCTGAGGTTTTTTCTTTTTCCACTGCCTCCAGTATTTGTTCTAACAAATTTGAGTTAGTATCAACTTTTTTGAGCTTCTTAGCTGTTTTCTCTGTTCTTGCCGAGGTTTCTTTCAGTTCCTTTTGTAGCATATCAAAGTTATTATTAAGGTTGGTCATCTGGTCCAGCAGAGGGCGCAGTGCTGCAGCAATCATTTTAGGAAAGTCTGTGGTTGCTTCCAGTTTAGTAACTGGAGTCGATGAGCTGGCAGTTCCTGAAGAGAATTTCCCCTTAGCTGCCATTTTTTCTGCCTGATATGTCATTGTTTACATTAAAGGGAAAGGTTTTTTTTTTAAGTCTCTGAAAGTCCGGTGGCTTGCAATCTTCTTACTAGTCCTCACCACACTCAGCCAAGTTATCGAACTCACTTTCAAGCCGCCCTCCTGCCCCTCGCTTTTCTCTTACGAGTCAATCTTTCCGGTTTCATGCGAGTTCCCCTCTTCTTTCCGCCTTGTTCGGGGCAGCTTTGTTAGTTTGCGAGTGGGCGGTTATTTGTAAAAGCAAACATGAACTCATTTACTTCACGCTTCAGTTCAGAGTGTAGGGGGAATCATTTTTCCGCCAGATCACTTGCACGCTCTCCCCAGTGTGCGCTTCTGAGTACCATGGCTAGTCTTACGCCGCAGGGACCTTTCGGGGCAAAAAGGAGCCTCGATCCTTCGGCTCATGCCTTGGGAGAGGCATTTCTCACGCCCCAAGCGACGAGCCCCCTGCAAGGTCTCGAGTGTGTCCAAGATCAACTCGGACCCCTCCCCATCGGTGCAATTTGTGGGGCGCTCACATCAGAGCTGTGATGGAGCGCACCCGCCAGCAAGTCGCCAAAACCCAGAAGTCAAGAATTAAAGCCCTTTGACGGGTTTATTACCAACCGGTGAAAAGTGCACTGTGGTATAGATTTAACAACTGTTATTTTGAACCTTTTAATCAGCATCTTCCTAGAGTATACACAGTGCTTAAAAGGACTTGAGGCTTAACTTGAGGGTTAGGAACATGTTATCAGGTATGATTATCTGACACTGTTTTACTCATAGTTAGACTGAGTCACTAAGGCTTCTGCAGCTAATAGTACAAATATACCTGGCAGTGGCAGCTCATGCCACCAGAAAGGGGAGTGCTGGGTGTCCCAGTCACCCTGCTCAGACCCACCCACCACATTTTTCCTCAGTTGCTCCTACCTACACCTCACCATCTCTGCCCATACAAGCCTCTCCATGTAGCTCCATGTAGCTATCAAGGCTAATAGAAGAAGCTTTCAGGGACAGATGTTCAGACGCTGAACATCAGATTCTCAGAACAGGACAGGGATGCTATTGTCCTTACATCCTGCTTTTATGCTCACAGAGGAATTTGGCTTGCTGCTGTTGGAGACAGAAGATTAGAGGGATACAGGTGACTTGCCCCAACTGATCTCAAGGCAAGAGGTGGGGTCTGAACCATAAACATTTCTTTAAAAGCCCTAATCATTTCTGCTTCAATTCATTCCCTCTCCAAACAGTCATTTTCCTCTGAGTGCTATCCACCAGTGAAATTTCTTTCAGTTAATTCCCCCCAAATCAATTTTGCTTGCCCCCAAATTAAGCTTCCCTTCCAAAAATGTGTCTCTTGTGTTGTGCATCTCTTCTTTAAAAACGCCCAGTATTTCTCACTCATCCAGTTGTTCTACATTCCCTTTAGTCTTTTATTCTGGTTTTATTTCTTATTGATTGTATATAAATATTTTTAAAATTGTATTTTGTTTTTATGGCATTTTGTCTTTTTTGTACATTGCCCAGAGCCTATTGAAGCTGGGATAGGGTGATTAATAAATCGAATAAATAATAATAGTAACTCAGCAGCAGCCTTATCCTGTGGATTCACTTCTGAACATCTGTTCGTCCAGCCCTGCCTCTAATTTTAAAAAGCCAAGGAAGTAAGGTGCTGAAATTTGTTGTACAGTGGTCTTATTAGCAGCTACCTATCAGTTGTCAGGATGAGCCAGTCTGCCTGCACCACTCATCTTTCCTCCATGCTATGTGTTGCCTCAGAGGAACAAGACTTCTTGCAGCTTTTGAGTACAGATGCAAGCATGGAGCCTACCCTCTTTGTACACTGTTCATGGATTTCCAAACTAATCATGAAATGCCCACTGATTATTCAGTTCATGTTCGTACATTGTTATTGTTGCTTGTGGTGTTTAAGAAGGCAGTTGGCTAAAGGAGAGTGCTTTTCAGGTGGCAGTTGAGGGCACTGTCTGTATTGTGAAAGAATCCACAGGTGTGTCTGTTCAGACATGACTTTGAGACCGGCTTGAATTCTACCAGATCTGACTTTATAAAATAAGCATTGAACGTCTCTTTGCATAAGTCTTGAGATTTTCATACTGCATATAGTGAGCACTGTAAGTGCTTGACTCATGCACATATGATGTAATTTAGTGTATACAGAGTTATGCTAGGTTGCCTTCCAACTGACCCGTAACAGGCACAAGAATGTTTATGTGACACACCATGTGTCTGTAAGCTGGTATTGCACTGTATATAGAGTATTGGTCTGTGACTGGGGAGATGTGGATTGAAATCCCCATTCTGCCATGAAGCTCACTGTGTGACTATGTGCCAGTCATCATCTCTAAGCCTGGTCTTTCTTACAGGGTGGTTGTGAGGTTAAAGTGGGGAAGGAAGGGAAACCCCCTACCATTAAACTCCTTGGAGGTAGAGTAGGATAAAAATAATTCCTAGACTGATTGAATGCTGTATACAGTGATCAAACTGCTGCTGTATTGCTTCTTAAGGAATGTGTGTAATTTTTGTATTAAATGGAATTATGTTACTGCTTTGGCTCTGCTATAGTGGAAGTAAAAGCAGGACATAAGTTTTATAAATGCATTTCTTCCTTCAAACTATGCACATGTTCCCGCCACCTTCCCTGCTTATCTGTTGAATTATTTTCCTTCCTGTAGTCAACCTTATGCTAGTCAACCTTATGCTAGAAAGTATACCATAGGAGATCAGATTACAGAAGAGTTGGTACTGGGGAAATGTCTGAGCAGATGCTAATTAAAAATTACAGGATTTCCAGACAGGAAATTTAATTATCTATGATCTAGAAATATCAGCAGTTTTCCCATGGGGTTAGAGATGGCTTTCCTTATACATATAAATAGGTTTGGATGCAAGCAAACATGATCTCAAGCAACCAAGAAAACAAATTTAGCATTCAAAGAAATCATATAATGACTCATATTCAAATAGAAGAATCCTGAGGGCCATTTTAAAATTCACATAGTCCATATTTTAAGACTGAAATGAAATGCTTCTTCATAAGTTTTGTCACAGATTCACAGGAGGATTTTCTTCTTTAATTAATTAAATTTCCTTTGATTACTCAGTAGCACGATCCCATGGTGTTTTCCTGCTCTGTTTTACCCTGCTGTATATCAGTCCCTGAATCAGTGAGATTTCAGCTGCTTAAGAACATAAGAAGAGACTGCTGGATCAGACCAGTAGTCCATCTAAGTTCAGCATCCTGTTTCATACACTAGCCAAGCAGTTGCCCTAGAGAGTCAAGGCTTTACCCTGATGTTGCCTCCTAGCACTGCGTTTCAGAGGTTTACTGCCGCTAAGTATAGAGGTTTCCATACTAACCATGGTGAGTAAGCCACTGATGGACCTATCTTCTATTAATCTCTCTAACCCCTTTTAAAGCCATCTGTGCTCATTGCTATTACTGGCTCCACTGGCAGTGAATTCCACCATTTAATTAAGCACAATGTAAAGAAGTATTTCTTTTTGCTTGTCTTATACCTATTGTTCATCAATTTCATTGGAAGCTCCCAAGTGCTGATGGAAGAGAGAAAAAGCTCTCTCTATTCGCTATTTCCACCCCATGGATAATTTGTTAAACCTCTGTCATGTCCCACTGTGCCTGTCTTTTTGCTAAACTAAAATGTACCAGAGACACTTCATCTTGCCTCATAGGAAAGGTGCTCTAACCCTTTGATCATCATGGTGGTTTTCTATATATTTTTCCTGCTCTGCAGTGTCCTTTTTGAGATACAGCAACCAGAGCGGTACACAGTATTCCAAATGAGGCTGCACCATGACCTCATTTGAACTTCTTTTTTCTTTATCACCAAGCTGTGGCTATCTGTACAATTTGTGTGCATGAGCACCCATCAAGTTAGGAATGCCTCCATTCATACTAACATAGCCCCTAGCTGGTTTTCGCCTCCTGAATTTTGTTGCTTCAAAGCTATTGTTTGCTGAAGACATCATGTCTTGTGGAACAACACAGAATCTTAACTCTTTGAATAAATTGTGTATCTTGCAATTCATGAGAGAGAGAGAAAAAAAGTTTATGGAAATGTATTAGCATGTTCAGGCAAGCAAAACATGTTTTTAAAAGTGCCTATCCTAATATTCTTGGCAGTCAGTTGTCAGTCTTTTAAAACTCTTTCAAGTAGGACTTGAGATACCATAATGCTTGGAGCTCCCTGGTGGGTTGTGTAATGTGGTATAGATCATTCACTGTGAGTTGAACTCCAACTTTTCCATTCTTACTCAGGAAGAACCACAGAAATAGTCCTTGAAACAAACAGCCTCAAAGTGACAGCTGAATGTGCCTCTGGGATTGATAACGTGAGTAACCCAAGGCATGAATATTTTATGGCTACAGCTAAATGCACGGAATTGCAAGTGACTATAAACTGTTATACTTTGTCAGAGTCGTGACAAGTGAAGTAATTACTTCCAATCACATAATTAAAATGTGCTTCTTCTGTTAATGTACCAGAGCCCTAGGAAATCTGATGCAAAATAGTCTGCTCAGGTATTTAAGTATATGCCAAGTTATTTACTGACAGAAAATGCAGCTGAGAGGGAATTAAAATTGGAAATGCAGGAGAATTTCAGATAGAGTCAAATATTTCCGAAGAGGAACAGGAAAAGATTCACATGCACGCAATAGATCATTGCCATGTCATTCAGCACTGATAGTTAAAGTTTCTGCACTGGTTCCTAACCTAAAGGAAGGAAATTCTGGGAAGGGATCAAGACAGAACTTGATAACTAAGCACCGCCCCAGGGGGGCCAGCTTTACTCTTTGAGAAATACTGATCGAGCCAAATTATCTGCATCAGCAGAATTCCCTAGATTTAGTCCATGTGTAAGGTTTGTTCATTCAGCCTCTTGGACTTTTATTGTAGGAGATTCCACAGCCTCCTCAGTAATCTGTTCCAGTGCCCTCTGATTCTTGTAGTTCATTGCACTGCATTTAAAATGTACGTTTAACGACTCCACCTCCTTTATTACAGCTCCGCCTTCCCCTCCTCCTGAGGCCAAGGGAAAGCAGTTTGCATGTCATATATTTAAGCCTTTGGTGAAGGGGTTAGGCCTAGTGGGCAACCTGCAAAGGGGTCCCCTGATGGTCAGAAGTTACCCAACTGGTCCATGGCAGTTAAATCCATATTCCATTCTTCTTTAAAGTACCAATCAAATTTCTTTAACAGTGGTGGTGTAATCAGTTGACTTCATAGTCTCTGTGAAAGCCATGGAAAAAGCTTATTAAGGTTGGCAAAGAATAAAAACCTCTCTGAAAAACTTCTGATTGGCACTCCTTGGGGGGGGGGGGGCAATCAAAAGAGCACAAAAGTGAACGGTGCCTGCCCTGTGCCTCAAGGCATGTGTATGAGGGACACTTTCTCTTGGTGTGTGTTGGGAGGGCATAAACATAAATGTCATCTTGTAGACTTTAGCTCTAGAAAGCACCAGGTAGTTCTCTCTGTAGCTGCAGAACCATATGTGTAACCAAGTAGATTATCACTTGAACAATACAGGTAAACTGTTTATTTAACTTGAATTTGTGATCAACCTTTTGGTCAGTAATGAGAATATGGAACTCCGCACACATTTTACAATGGTTCCTAGCTTCAGTTCCAGTTGTGATTTTTATGGCTCCTCTTTTACCTGTAGAAATCACACCTTGATGTGGCAGAACGGCAGAAGAAACTCTTGTTGCCTGATGTTGAATGCAGTTTAGCCAAAATAGTGGCGGAGGCAAGTAACTTCTATTACAGCTCTTTGATTCAATTTAGGTTGGTACTGCTATGTATTTTTTTTATATATATACAATAAATTTTTATTGATATACAAAGAATAGCTGACAAAAAAGTGTACAAACATAGTTTGGTAAAGCAAAACAGTAACAAATAGTGTTCGTATCTGCTATGTATTTTTAAGAAGTATTTTGTGCAGTATGGTATCTTGTAATCCTTTGTTGCTACATTTGTTGTGGCTTATAACACTGAGTGATTGTTTACTGAAAAGATCTGCTCTTATTATTTTATGCCCTTTAGATTGCTTTCCTGCCTCCTATGTTTGAAAATAATCTGAATATTTTATTTTCCCATATTGCGGCCACACGTATGCTTAAATTGGTGGTAATTTTTCCGGATTTCTGAAAGAAATTCCACTTTGTTTTAAAAAGTCTGCAACTGCTGTTTCAGGAGAGTGTCACAGCCCCATTTCCCTTTCTTGCCCCATGTACATAATTTTAATTGATCCTTGTGTGTGAAAAGGGACAATATGTGGAGAAAATAAAATGTTGAAGAAAAAGAAAAAAAAGGAAGTCGGCAACTGCAACAAAAGTCTGTATAATTTTGGGGTCTCATTATACAACACATGAAACATGACTCGGCTTGGCAGTTCCTCCCCCCCAACCTATGTTTAATGTCTGACCGGGACTCACCTTTGAAATAGTTGGGTGGAGACTAATTGGCTGGCATAGTGGCAGAAGGAGATTCAGCCTTCCCTCCCATCCTGTGCCACTTTCGACAGCAAAGAATAGCAGAGGTGGGGCTGTTTGTCCTGCTACTGGCTACATGTCTCTGCAGTCACATGTAACCAGCAGTGGAACAAACGGCCCACACCATTTTTTGGGTTCCCCTAACCCAACTCGAGGAGCTGCGGTGGCTCAAGTGGTTAAGACGCTGAACTGCAGGCTGTGGAAGGTCAGTAGTTCAGCAGTTCGAGATCCGAGTTGCTGCATGATGGAGTGAGCTCCCATCTCTAGTTCCAGCTCCTGCCAACCTAGCAGTTTGAAAGCAAGAAATTGCAAGTAGATAAATAGGTACCACTTCGGTGGGACGGTAACAGCGTTCCGTGGGCCTTGGTGTTTAGTCATGCCGGCCACATGACCACGGAAACGTCTTCGGACAGCGCTGGCTCTTCGGCTTTGAAACGGAGATGAGCACCGCAACCCTAGAGTCGGATTCGACTGGCTTTCAATCAAGGGAACCTTTACCTTTTTAACCCAACTCAAGTTTCACATCTTGTGTAATGAGACCCTTAGTTGTGCTTACATCCACATTCCTGGATGCACTTCATTTTACTTCTTCCAGGATAACAAGCAACAGTGCATTTCCTTCCTCTATTCTGGAGCTCAACATTATGAGTTTTTAAAATAAGGCTAGAATTTTACAGTTGTAACCATGCACTTGAGTGCTCACTGATATGTGCCCCATGTATTTTCATGCAAAATGCAAGAAGGAATGGCTGAGGACCCTGACAGTCAAGGTCAAGCAGTGTTAGAAAACTCTTTAAAAAAAAAGAAATTAAAACGAAAAATTAGCAAGGTGTTACTGATGTTATGTTTTTACAAGTCAGTTTTAATCAGAGTTTTGGGAAGGGGGTAGAATGACATATCAGTCTACAGGTGGAGGATCACATGTTGGCATGTTCCTTAAGTTAAAATCTCCCAGCAAATTGAAAACAAAGATGGCAAGCAAAGAAAGGAGGCAGAAGATTTCTCTCTTACTGTGCTAAGTTTTCTACTTGCATAAAGTTTTTTATGTGAAAAAGTGTTCAGAACTAGAATCTGCCATCTGCAGTGGTGCAGTCCAGTATATCCCATCAGCATTCTTTCTCCTCATTCTCCTGTATGTATAAGTCAGCCCTCAATGACAGATCATAGGGCAAAGTGCAGATTTCATAGGACCCTATTTACCACCAGCAAAATTCCTTCAAAAATGAATTGGTATGGATACAGTTCGATATGTGATGCTTCTTCTTGCTTGACTAGAACAGTATAAGAGCATTCCCTTTGTTGAAACTGCCAGAGGCAGTTTAAAATGTGAATTAATTACATTTCAAGTGAGGATGTGAATTGATTGTTGCTAAAGAAAACATTGCAAGTGGACAGTTTTTGTTGACTGTAGATCCCAAGAACTAAGTTGTACAAGCAGCATTCCTAAGACAAAAGAGCCTTTGCCATGACTGTTTCTTGTTTCCACCCTTTGCTTATACTACTTTAATAAATGTCATCTTGTCTATTATCAGTTACAGGAACTATTGCCAGAGAGTAAAGTAGCAGCATATCGGTCCCAAGGACAAAGGAGGAAAGCCAGCAGCAGTCCTAACAGAGATCACAGGCAAATGGTATTCTTGCAACAATTCATATGTAACAGATTAAGAATTTAAATTGTATACAAAGAATTTGTTTTTTAATTTTTTTTTGATAAATACATCAAATCCTTGAAAGCAGAGACATAGATCAAAATATCAAGAAAATGTTACTTGTGAACAACAGATCACTCTAATATCTCAATGACTCATCTTGGAGTGGGCCTAGCTCCCCAGGTCCAGCTCACTTAAAACCATGGGCTAAGAGCCAGTGGTCAAGAATCCTTTGGTCATACATGTCTTTGGCTGAACTCAGGCTCACTCAGCAGTAAGGGAGGAAAGAGTCCCTCCCCTTCAGTCTTGGCACAGCGTGCAAGGGGAGGAGGATAGAGCAAGGAAATATGTCAGCCCAAGAACATCTGAGGCTCTTTGTCTGATCAAACATGTTGAAGATATGTATGTAATCATAGCTTGTTAGCTCTTACAGGCTGGAGAGCAGCTGTCTGCTGTTCAACAAATTTGATCCAGCACACATTTCAGCAGAAGGGGAAAGAGAATAAGGCTGCATTCAGATGATCAAACAAACCATGCTGTAACATAAGTGCTAGTGTTCCCCAGTGCAGCGCCTGCAGGTGCTGTGGTGTCCACTGACTCCATTATTCCCATTGTGGCTGCTAAGGGGAAGTTAGGAGGTGGTGCCACATAGGATGTTTTCTCAGTCAGGCCAGCTTCCTGATCACAGGAAGTGTGCGAGTTTGCATATGTATATGTGAAGCAGTTTATGGTAAGGAGAAGGGTGGAATGGGGGAAAGTAATAGAAATTTTGAAATACTATTGGCATCCATCTCCCGCTGAACCTGTGAGAAGCACTTGTTAGCCAGGAGTGAACCTGGCAAACAAACCAGGTCTTACTGTGGCTTTTTTGGGGGCGGGGGGTCACCTTTTTTTCCCTTCCCCCTTCCGCATCACTGGGGAGGCAGGTTTGGTACCAAAATGATGCCATGTCAAGTACTTAGAAAGGTATAATAAAAATATACTCAGTAAGTTTAGTTTGACAGATCTGATAATTGCTTTTAGATAGTGTCTTTTACAGTAGTGTACAGTATGTTCCTTAGACATATAATTATACAAAAGAGGCAAATATAGAGGTTGATTTTGCAGACACACATATCCAAGTGTTCATACTGAATTCTTAATTGATTATTAACATTAGAAGCTCAAAAAGTGTTTCTTGTTATATTTGAAACATAGAAAAAGCACAGCAGTTAAACCTGTTACAAACTGCAAAATCCCCCATTATTCACTGCAGTAAAAAGACTGAAGAAAATGATAACTAACAAAAAAGTAAAGTGGTTGGTTGAAAAGTCCTGAAAATGTCTTGCAGTGATTTGTCATCTGATTCTCCCTCTGAGAGGAGGACATCTTGCTGGGTGTTTCCCACCCTATCCTTAGGGAGGCAGGAACCAAAACTTCACTTCCTGTCCTCTAGGTGGGACACGCCCCTCGGCTCAGTTTTGTTCCTGCCTTGTTAGGGAGAGCAGCAAGTAGTTGGCACTTGCTGCCTTTTTTGACAAACCTTTTCTCAAAAAGACCATACAGACCTTTGTTGGCAGGGTGATGTCTCAAAATCTTTTCTAAATTTCTAAATACCTTCCTCAATCTCTGCCTCCTCTATCTTACCCTCACCTTTTCACTCACTTTGCCTCTTCCCCCTCTTACCTTCGCCTGACGCCCCAGGTGCGGCATGTCAGCCCGGGAGGACTCAGCTTTCTTTCCGAGTCTGAGGGGGACGAAAAACTGCTGCCTGCACAACACCCTAATTCCAAGGGAAACGCCATGTCGTTCTCTGCTGTGGCAGCGCCGCCAGTGCACAAGGCAAAGTGCGCCAAAAAGCGGCCACACTCGCCAACAGAGGAAAGCGCTGCGGGCGCCATTTTGAAAAGGGTAGCAAAACGCAAAACCCCTGAAGAAACAGGGGAAGGCTGCGGGGCAGCTATCGCTGGTTCACACATGGACAGTGTGTTGTCCATTCCAAGCGCTCAAGCGCCTGTGGAGACAGATCCTGAGATCACCCACTCTCTCCTATGGGTCTACCCATGAGTAACCCCGACAGGGGTGGAAGCACGTTATTGACTCCTGAAGTTATGCAGTTCTTTAGGCGAGCCATGAGAAAAGAAATCTCTGTCTTACAACGTGGTTCCCATTCAGGGGCTATGGGTCCCTGCCACCCTCATTCCTCCACTAGCTGCTGCCCTCAAGGAAACCCAGAGGAGGGAAGGCCTACCTGGCCAACAAAAGCGGCTAGAAAAGAGCACTTTTGTACTATGAGGGATGAACCCCAGTGGGACCTTTCTCAAATTGGGGACAGCGAAGCCAGGGACAGGGAAGAAGGGGAGTTTCTTTCAGATGAGGAGGTGGAAGAGGAGATGGAAGTGCCAGAATCTTCCATGAGATTTTTTAAGTCAGAGGACTATCAGTATTTACTTAGAAAGACTATGTCTGCCTTAGAACTGTTGCCTAAACCCAAGGCAGACAACCGCAACAGCTCTGATCCGGGCGACGGGTCCCGGCCAAGAGGGAGTAAAGATTATTTCCCAAGAGCCCCAGGGGTGGAGAAAGTCTTTCCTTTCCCTGAATTTCTAGAAAAGCAGTTGGTTAAGGAATGGGATAAGCCTATGGCTAACAAAAGTTGCCCTCCTAACGTTAAGAAACTATATGCTTTACCTAACTTCACTGATAAGCTTTTGCAGGTCCCGCTAGTGGATGCTCCAATCACTGCGCTTCAAACAGCAGGCCTTCTTTCTGAAGATGGTGAAGGCATGGTGAGAGACAGCATGGATAGGAAAGCTGAGTTCGCATTGTGCAAGGCACATGAAGCCACAGCCATGGCCATCAGAGCGACTGCCACAGCCAAGGTAGTGGCAAGGGCCTCTACTGCATGGTCCAAAAAGATGGTTCAGCTTATTGCAGGCTCCAACAAACGTCTAGCTGAGGGAGCAAACAGGCTCTTACAGGCTTCCTTATTCTCCGCGGATGCCATGCTCAATGCCATGATTTTCTCATCCAGGGCCTTGGCCTCCACTGTCGCTGCCAGAAGGATCCTCTGGCTACAGACCTGGCAAGCCGATCTTCATGCCAAGTCCATTGTTTCAGCATACCCCTTTCAAGGTGACCACCTCTTTGGAGAGGCATTAGACAAGATCCTTATAGAAACAAAGGATAAAAAGAAGGCGATGCCCAGATCCCTGGGCAGATCGGATAGAAGGGGTCCTGGCAACTTCTCCTTTCGAGGTCAACGAGCCTCATAGAGATAGCAGACGCTCATCTTGGGGAACTTCCAGATAGAACTTCAGAAGGAATCCTTTCCACAATAGGTCAGGAAGAACTTTCTCACCCAGAGATGACAAGTCTGTATGAGACAACAAGACACCAAAAGCGTGACTCGACATTGGTGCTAGTGGAGGGGACATCTGCTTCTTTTTCATCAGACTTGGGCCGAGTCCAATGCAGATGACGGGTCGCTGGAAATCACCAGCAGGGGTTATTCCATCGAATTCCTAAGCAGACCTTTAGACTGCTTTGTCCCCTCACCAATGATAAAAGACCCAAACAAACTGAAAAGGACCCTGGATGCCATACATCTCCTTGCCAGTATTCAAGCCATCGAGACAGTATTCAGGAGATCGAGCGGAACAACTATGAAGAGAGCGAGGTCAAAGATATGACCAACAATGAACGTGAGTTCTAAGTAAACAGACTATTGTACTAAAACAGAGTAAAAAAACCCCCGGTGGGAAAAGCGGAGTGCAAGGAGAAATGCCTCTTAAGCGCATGGACAGATTAACGTAGCAAAGGGGGTAGGGGGGAAACAAACAGCAAGATTTTTCTGAGAGACTTACTTGAGTACCGATAGTGAAGCGACGAGTTTTTCGAGCCCTGGCAAAGCGGTTTGAAAGTGTAAACAAAGAGGAACATGGCGGCTTCCCGAGGAAAGTTTAAACTGAAACCAGAGTCCAAGACCAGAAGAGGGAGCAGACGTCATGAAGTTGCTAGCGGATATGCTCAAGCCGGTAATGGAGCAACTTGGTGGTATTAACCAGCAACTGGCCACACTAAATCAAAACTTTGCTTCACAGCAGCGTCAGCTGGCAGAAATGGAAAAGTAAGTGGAGCAAGCAACTGAGAAAATTACAGAGATAAACACCGCAAATAAGAAAATGAAGAAAAGAGTGACAGATGTGGAAACGACACAAAAACTTCAGGAAACTCATTTATTATGACTCTCAGATTTCAGGGGGTGCCTGAAAGTGAAAAAGAAGATCTGAAGAAGAGTCTGGGAGAGATTATTGCTCCAGTAACAGGCTTATCAGCGGATGAGATAGTAAAAGACATGGAGGCTGCCTATC